CCTGGAGGCATTCAAAGCCAGGCTGGATGTGGCTCTGGGCAGCCTGGTCTGGTGGTTGGCAACCCTGCACATAGCAGGGGGGTTGAAACTAGATGATCATTGTGGACCTTTTCAACCCAGGCCATTCTATGATTCTATGATTCTTGTATTAACAAGGGAACTTGAGAAGCTCTGTGGTCAGTAAGACAATGAGAAAGTTCATTCAGCTGAAAATTAATCTTCCTCTTCTCTCCCCACCAAATAAAAATAAAATAAAACAAAATAAAACTACTTAAGTGATGAAGATGCGAAACAAATGAGGAGACTCAGTCACAGCCCACTTCTTCCTGTTCCCTGCCTGCTGCCAAGATGATGTGCATTGTGACACCTTGCTTGAGGAGTACTAAAAATACTTGTAGTTGGCTCTGACTTCTCTCATTGCTGCTAAACTATTCACAAGAGGAATTCACTTACTTCACTTCAGGGCTCAACTAGACTTCCTTGTTTCATATTTCCAGATTCACGTGAACCTTTAATTACATGCATGTGTTCCCTACATACATCATACTGTAAGAAATTTTGGCATTTAAAACTGCCATACAGACAGGCAGTTCCTCAAAAGTTAGCAAGGGCAAGTGTTCAAATTTGTGAATAGTTAACTGTGATGACAAAGCTTGCAGCACATCAGTGCTGTGACTATTGCTTGCTCTGTATAAGGCTCCAGCTGTGTTATTAACTACCTTAGGTGAGCTCTTACCATATAGATCTGCTTAATGAACATGGAATCTTCTCAATCACATTGAACTTGTTACAAACACTAGGTTTGTGGTTTGTAATCTGAAGCAAACTTGCAAATGTCACGTATTTAAATATATTATTTAGACACAAAACATGCCACACCATGCAGCACTGTACTTTTCACTCTGTTGTGTCACATAACTACTCTACTGATCAAAATAAGTTCATGAAATCATAGAATATCCCAACTTGGAAGGGATCAATGAGTCCAACTCCTCACTGTCACAGCAAAATGTAACTTATTCATAGTTCAGCCGAGTGACTTCATACTTCCTTTCTTTGAGCTGCATCTGCTGGATTTCCTTTCAAACTTCCCCTGTTAGAGGCACTCCAGCCTTCACAGCAGCCTCTAACTATCAGACCTGGGCTCAGCTACGTGTTGTATAAAACACTCTAAACTGCATGGTTTACAACTAAGTTGTAAAGCCTCCTCCCAGAACAGCTTAAAACTAAACAGAGTGAAAGCACAAGAAATCCCATGGCTCTCCTCTATGGGAACAGAGGAAGTCCCTGTCCTTTCAGCCAAGAACCACTGGCTTGAATCTCTAGACTTTGTAGGTGCAGCCACTTCTGAGCTCAAGAGGCTGTTTGCAGTAGTCAATGGCTGCTCTGAGTAACTCTGACACAAAAAAAAAAAAGGAAAAAAGAAAAAAAAAAGATGCCACAGGACCTACTTCTCTTTTACACCAAAGGTTAGAGCAAAATACATCTCTAATTGAAGGCTGTGTAAGAACAGTGTGACCCGATGACAAAGTCCGTAAGAGGAAGTCCAGTTGGTATGCCTCAGTGCAGTAACCCCAGTGGCTTTCATGATGGTGAGAGAATCACATGATCCCAACTCAAACTAGGCTATGTTTTCATTATTTATGTCTCTGTACTTTATAATACACTGGTTCATGCTAGGAGGTAGTAATAGTTGCAAGCAAGTTGATCTCAGACTACAGGTAATCCTAGACCTAGCTAAAGTTTCAGGCTACATAAAGGGAGCAATTACGTGTCTTTATGAAGACAACCAAAGTAACTGCCCATGGCAGTTAGCTGTATAGTAGAGTTGGGCTAAAATTAAGCCATTTGCCCTGAGAGATTTCCATATACTTAACATGAAGGTGGGGAACTTGAGACTGTTTTGCAAACTGTGAATACTGGAAAAAGAAGACAACTGGGAAATCAGCAGACAGCAAGAACACAAATTAGTGCTGTTACGAGGAGCTAGGTGGACATACCTGGAGAGAAAAGGAACTTGAAAGAAAGACTTTGAAACTGCGAAACTGCCAGCACTTACCTGTTTCAACTCTGTTCTGGTAAACAAGGACATGCTTGCACTTCTGTAAACTAGTTGTATTGCATCAGATCTGATTTGTGTAGTAAATTTCTCCCACGAAGACAAACAGTCATGGCTTTAAATATTAACTTAATGCTCATCAGCAATAAGCCAGACTATTTCAATAATTAAAGAAATAACATAGCTTTTATTTTCCTCTCAGGTATCTCAGACGAATTCATAACTCCCATGTTTAATTTTTATAAAAGTATCGGAGAGCTGAAGATGACACAGGAGGAATACGCATTGCTCACAGCAATAGTGATCCTGTCTCCAGGTAATTCCTAATTCAGAATTCAATGTTAGTGTGTTTGGAAAGAAAGCATGAAGAGTGTGACCTGAGACTTACGAAAACTCACTTTCTACACAGAGTAAGTGAGCATACATTCTAGTTTTCAGTCTATTCTGTTGTTCAACCAGAAGGCTGGTGACAGCAACAGCACCCAAGGAAGTGGCTTGGACCGTCAGGGGATGGTCAGGCTGGATGTTAGGAAAAGGTTTTTCACCAGAGGGTAGTGGGCATGAAACAGGCTGCCCAGGACAGTGGGCATGGGACAAGGATGCCAGAGTTCAAGAAGTGTCTGGACAATGCTCTCAGACATAGGATCTGATTTTCGGGTGGTCCTGTGGGGAGCCAGGAGTTAGAATCAATAATCCTAAGAGGGCTTTTCCAACTTGAGATACATTATGATTCCATGATTCTATGAAATCCAAACTCCAATTGCACGATCTGGCTTTGTGTACAAGGAAAAAAAAAGTGCTTAAATACCTTGCTTAAAATAATTGTTGGTAGCTTATCAGTGCTCAGAGCAATGGGCTTACTCCCTTAGAATATCCCAGTTGTGTTACATGTGCATTGCAAGTCCATTGTGGAATGGCACATGTTTTAAACGGCGATTGGGAAATCCTATGTATTAGAACTGAGAATGACAATGAAGGGCTTCAGCCTCTACTGTGCAAACAGCAGTGGGAGAGAGCAAGAGAACAGCACGGAGTTGTCCTTTAGGCTGTAGAGAGCTGAAAACTGATCTTCTACAGCCACGCCAGGCTTTGCTGTAAAAAACAATTCCTTGACAAGACAGAAGTAACCTACAAATTATGGAGAAGTTGTACAGTGCCTTAAACAAACTGACTCCTGCAGGAAGGGAAAAGAGAACCCCGATGCCTCAACACAAAAGACTCAAAGAGCAATGAAATTGCTTCACCTTCACCATCTCGCATGAAACTTACTTGGATCACTAAAGCTTCCAAGTAAGGTTTCATGCGACATGGTGAAGGTGAAGCAATTCCATTGCTCTTTGAGTTAGTGCTGATTAGGAATGTTTTTACACTAAAAAATTAATAGAATCAATGAATCATTAATGTTGGAAAAGGCCTCTAAGATCATCCAGTCCAACCATAAGCCTATCCCCACCATGCCCACTGACCATTACGCTCAGTGCCACATCCACATAGTTCTTGAACACTTCCAGCGATGGTGACTCCCCCATTTCCCTGAGCAGCCTGTGCCCATGTCCAAACACTCTTTTGGAGAAGAACTTGTTCCTATGAAAACGCTGAATCAAAAAATACCAGGCTGAGGCATTTTTATTCCCTCTTCATTTGAAAAGAAATGTTCTTGTTAGGTGTGAACATCAATGCCCAATGAAATATATTGATATTTGTTCATCAGAGTAAATACTTACATTGTATCAAACATACATTTGCTAATTACTTCTTTCCCTTTTGAAACCAAAACCAGACCGACAATACATAAAGGACAGAGAGTCGGTGGAAAGGCTTCAGGAGCCACTGCTGGATATCCTGCAGAAGTTCTGCAAGCTGCACCACCCGGACAACCCGCAGCACTTTGCGTGCCTCCTGGGCCGCCTCACCGAGTTACGGACGTTTAACCACCACCACGCAGAGATGCTGATGTCCTGGAGAGTGAACGACCACAAATTCACCCCTCTCCTCTGCGAGATCTGGGATGTGCAGTGATGGATACCGGTTGTTTTTATTTCAGGACAAACGTCTTTTTAAAGGACCACACAGCATTTATTTTCATAGGAAAAAGCAATATATCACAGTGCATTAATTTTTCTTTACTGCATTTTTATAGAAACTTGCCACGGAGTTCACAAAAGCCGTTTTGTGCATTATACACAGAATACTGTATAGCTGTCAGATTTCCACACGTGAGTTATAATTTTCTCTGTATTTATATTCTTTGATCGGAAAGGATTCAATGGCTCCTCACAGGAACCCCACTAATCCCTCCTGCAGTTGCTCTCTTTGCAGAGTTCCTCTTGCAAAATGGGGCGATTCAGGCTTCCATTCACATTTTTCATTGCTGTGTTTTTGTGCTTGGCCTCCATTAAAGAATATATTCCAAATATTTACTGTAATAAACCAGCAGAAATGATTACTGCCACGGTGTGTAACTGAAATGTGCTCGCCACATGAGACAGGCAAGCTCCGATTTCTTCACGAGATGAAAAATCGCCACGGGCAGAGGGACGCGCACGCACACAATGACACAGACGTGTAACTTAATCTGCGTTCTTACTATTTCAAAGTAAAAATCAGGTTATTTTGCTCTTGAGCGGCAACGTCCAAGACCCTACCGCAGGACGGCGGCCGCAGCCTGACACCCGAGCCCTGCGCACCGCGCTCTCGCAGAGGAGGCTGTGGGCGAGCGGTTCCCCTGCGGGGCGCGGCTGCCGGTGGCGCGGAGCCAGGTGCAGCTCCGCCCCGCGGGCGCTGATTGGCTCTTTCGAACGGAGCGGCCGGCGCGGGGCGGGGGTGCCGTGCTGTGTGGCGGCGGTGCGGAGCGGTGGGTGCCGGGGTGTAGGTGAGTGTCTGCGGGTGGGCAGCGGGAGTGGGACGGCGGTTCGGGACTCAGTAACTCTCGTGCAAGGGAAGTGCCGCGGAGCTGAGCGCGGCAAGGCAGAGGGAAGCGTTCGCACGGAGCTTTGTGAATCAGTTCTCGCGTTTGGGGGTGCGGTGCTGGTATGGTAGGAAGCGTGCCCCGTGATCTGGGCTACAGTGGCCATCAGGGTCGCTTAGCGAGCTGGGAAACGTCGTTTCCTTTCTCTGCCTAAAGGCTGGCGGTGCTCCAGGGATGCTGTGTGCCTTCTTTGGCGTAAGTATCAGATAGAGACGAGGGGACTCAGGGCATAGCTGGCTTGTGCGTGGCAGTGATAAATGTGGCAGGTGGGTCTTTCATAATAAGATGAGATTTTATATCAAGTTTCAGCACGTTCCTCCTGCTGGTCAGAGGGCATTGAGCAGTGCTTCCCACTGTGTTACTTCACTGGAAGAAAACTGGGGTGGAAAAGTGAGAAAATAAAGCTGGTTCACGTGAAGCAGGATGTCTCAGTGCAAGCGGTGGCATGGGAGGACCAGAGGCTCTCAAACGGGATGCTCCTGTGGGGAAGGAGCTGTGACACCTCCAGGATGAAGTGCTTGCCCTGAAGCTCAGGTGGGCTCCAGCCCTGCCGGGTGCCCCTGGGGCAGTGTCTGCTCTCACTCGAGGATGTGGAAAGGCAGCCCCGAGGAGAGCTGCCAGCACACTGTGATGCCACTCCACAGCCCTGCCGTGCCAACTCGTCTGGTTCCTTCCCTTTCATGCCTCTGAGGCCTCCCCAGGGAGGCAGAACTCCTGCTGACTCAGCCGTGAGCGAAAGGGCTCTGTAATTGCAGTAGTGACAGGGAGTAGCGCTCTGAGGATGTGTCATGTTGTGCTAACCTCTCTTCTGAAAAAATCTTGGATGTCTTCTGGTAGGTTTCAACAGGTTCTGCTACGACAGCTTCTTTCATTTGACAGTGTTTAAAAATCTGGATTTCGGTAGGTGCTGTCAGGCTCACCTGCAGATTCCAGCTGCTCTGGGCTGGTCTGCTCTACCAGCCTTTGGGTGCTGATGGAGCTGAAGATGAAGTGTGATATTTCTTAAGCAAAGGGTGAGGATGTGAAAGTGTTTCTTCCCAAAGGTTTTTAATGAGCCTGTAAATCCCTTTAAGTTCTATATGATACATGAACGGCTGCTTCATCTGCATACTAAATAGCTGCAGAGCTGCGGACTTTTTTGTTTCCTTGTAAACAGGGCCATCTAATGAAATGAGATTTGGATGTGGTTCATCTTGTGCTATAGAATGGCTTGTAATTAGGGTAGCGTGTCTTGCTGGTTGGGGCCCATGTATTCAACCTAATACAACTGATACTGAGTTAGATATCTTGGGCAGCATCCGAGAGCATGTGCTTAGCACCCTGGAGTACTGGCGCTGAAGGACTTTGGTGCTTCCTCAGATTGGGGGAAAAGTGGTGGACAAAGCAGTGGTGAACAAAGCAGTCGGAATGGTTTTGTGTGGCTGTCAGACTGTGTCTGCACCCCTCGTCCTGAGAAATGCCTGTCCCTATGCTGTGTTAGATACCTTATTTTCCACCTCTCTTTATTAAAGCTCCAGTCCTTTGCTGGAGGCTCAGCAGTCAGCCAGCTGAAGGTAGCTGTTGCCTTCCCCAGTGTATAATTTGGGGCTGCCCACCTGTCTTGCTACAAATCAGCACTGCTGTATCGATCTTGCCATCAGGTGCTGTTAAGCAGTGTTTCTCCTCTCCACCCATCCCATGGAGCCTGTGGGCAGCAGAAGGGCCAGAGGAGATTAGATGGGATGTGTTTCCTGGGAATGGTGCTGGTGGTCAGGAATCTCTACATCTGCCAAGCACTGGGCTTTGTTACCTGATTGGGAAGCAGTTTCCAGTTTCTACTGCTTCCCCTGTTTAAAGGGGGGAAGCAAGTAGACAGCGTTCCTAGGCACCTTTAAGATACCAGCTGGCCTGGAAATGGAAATGGCATAGCCAGACATGGCCAAATTACATATTATATATTCATTCTGGAGCCTTTTCTTTCACACCTGTGAGCCCTGGGCACGAACTGCTAGTTGAATGAAGATGAGTTGAAGAAACTGATATGGTTCTAGCTGGAGCTGCCTGAATTCAATGTCAAATGCTTGTTTCATTAATTACGTACAAATTCTTGATGCAGAAAAAACCACGGGTTTTAGGAGAAATCCAATTTGGTTATGACCACCTGTTACTGCAGTGTTTTCCTCACCATCCCTCTCATTGCCAGCAATGAGGCAGTGTTCATCTGCGTTCCTTGCACTCTGAGAACAGACAGATGTGGGATCTGAGAATGACAAACTCTTAAGTTAACTTTAACTGTCAGCTCAAAATCCATTCAGGATAGTCTGTTCTGATGAAATTTTTCTCTTAAATGCCATTCAGGTACCCCAAGGCTAAGTGAACCCATATCTCTTTCTAGAGAGCCCTGATGCATACAGGCTTACAAAATGACTAGTTTTAAAACAGCAGGCCCCTGAAGTTTGAGTGCTACAACTCTTCTCCTCAATCTCCATATTTATGACCAATTTTTGTTGGGCATTTCTGCAGAACTGCAAATGCTGAACATTTTTGTGATAGCTGTCGTGTGAATATTTTGCTTTGTTCTTGCTTCGAGCACTCCCTGTGAATTAGGCTGCCTTTTGTTCTTCCTGTGGCAGTTAGCATGCCAGATTGTTGGCCAACGTGGAGATCCTTGTTTTAATGAGACCAGCTTCTCTGCTGGCTGTTCTGCTGTTGTTTTATTTATTTCTTTTTGATCAATGAAGCCTCTTACTGCGACTCTCTTGGGACAATAGCTTCCTTATGCTAAAGGAAAATGTATTCCCCTGGACAGAGCTGTGGGAAGCATAACATGCTCATTAGTAATGCTTGGTATATACTCTGCCCTTCCCTTGTTCATTCATTGAAGAAAAAATGGCATTGTGGTGAGGATGGCTCTTTTTTGTTGTTTTTTTTTTCCTTTAGGAAATAAAAGTGAGGGGGGGTAGGGGGGGGAAGATACCACTTAAAGCATCTTTGGTAAAGTTGGAGTAGTCTGGTAGTCCTACTAGAAGGAAGTGTCTTCAGTCTGGAAACAAAGTGCTTGCTCCGTTGCCTATGATAGAGGTAATTTGTCTGAAATTTCTGACATGTGTGGTCCTATGTAACGCGTGAGGCTCCAGTATGTGGAAGTATTAGATCCTCTGAGATGGGCCTTTTGTCTTAGGAAGGCAAGATTGCATCTGGAGCAGGAGTGAGGAGTTATTAAGTTTCAAAGGAAAATGTGTGTTTCACTATTGATGTCATCTGTCTGCAGTCTAATTTCCAGCCTGATCTTAACTAATGCACCAAGAAAATTGTTTTTAACCGGCTTCAAGACATATACAGGTATGTGTGTGTAGGCAGTAATTCACTCCGCTGCCATTGTGGAGACCTATGCTGAGGAAATTCCTCCTAATAAGTGCCTGTGTAGCTAATGCTGCACATTTCTAAACCTCGAGTCTGTAAGGAGAGACTTCATGATTCCCAGCCTGGTGAAGAGTCTGTGCTGTTTTTTCCTCTTGTTGGAAACACTGATGGAAAAGGAACGGGGAAGTGTTGACCTAATTGCATCTAAAACTTTCCTTAAGGATTGTTTTGCAAGGGCATTGTCCTTATAGCTTGCAGCATTGCATCAAAAACTTACGTTCATGGTAGCTGCCTGGAAATCTACGTCAAAAGCCATATAGAAATTAGTAAAACTATCAATTTCTTTTGTGTATCTATGCAAGAATAAATCTCATTCTTAGAAGTGATTTCATCAAGATTGTTCTTAATCTTTGAAGTATTTTATGTAAGCTCAGGATGTGTATGTGTGTCTCTGTGCATGTGCAAGATATGCTTGGGGTAGGTTGGAAAGGAAGAATAAGTGCCAGCCATGCCAAGTCTGAGAAATGTTTGAGTATTGCTTTGGAAAAGCAAGTGCCTTACAGCTCCTTAAACCAGTGCAACCCTTTGAGCATTATTTATGCACTTGAAGTTAGTTGCTACTTTAAGCTGTAATAACTACTACTTTATTTGGAGACAGAGTGCCTAAGGAGCCTGAATACTGAATTAACACCTTAAATACTAAAATAACTATTCCTTTCTTGCATCTGTGTCTTTTTAGAATTGCTTGTGTTTTGCCTGGTGGGTTTTTATTGGGATGTTTTAGAAAGCGGGATTGACTGTCTTTAAACTTCTCTTTCCCCAGAGGGAGAAACTGATGTAAATGCTGGTGACCATGCAGAATGCAGTTCAGGTAAATGTCTTTTGTAATGTTTGAATTCTATATTATATGTTTTTATGTAAACATCTACCCTGAAGCAGATGAAATGATAAAATCCCCAGAATAATCTCTAGCCTTTTAAACAAATAAATAAATAGGAGTTTTCCCTTTCAACAAGTGGAGCACTGTGGTGAGGTAGGTAACCCATGTTGTAATCACATAGGCAATACTTACAGTTTCTAAGTGCTGTTTCCTGAGAAGTTTTCTAAGTTAAAGGATAAGAATATTTGAAACTTTATTGATTTAAAAAAAAAACAAAACAAACAAACAAAAAAAAACAACCCAAAACCCTGCATATAAGTAAATTGCTACAAAAATAGAAGTTTACATTTTAGATACACATCCCTCCTGAGCTGAAGAAAGTAGCTAAGAATATTGGAAGGACTCTTTCTCTTTGGGAATTCTATCCATGCCATTTCAGCATGATCCTTCTCTTCAAGTGTGAAGGTATCCATCAGTCTGAAAACATGGGATCCTTAAGAGAAATGCTAAGGATTCATGTTCAAGAGCTGTCTATGCTCACGTTTCTTCTTTTAGTATCAGCACTTTAATGATTTAAACTCTAAGTGCACCTGAAATGATTGATCACAGAAGTCAGTACTCTATAATGAGTTATATGATAAACTACAGGTTGTATTAATATGTGGTGAGGAGGAAGAAGACAGCATAAATGAGTAATGTTTGTTTTGTTTGCCTACTAAAGAAGATCTGCTTATAGCCACAATAGGGTAACTGAGAACAAGAGAATGAACGTGGTAGTGCTTTTGATGCGGGAGTTACTAATGAGAACTGTACCATTCTTGATTACTGCTGTGTTGGTTTGTGTCTGTCTGAAGGGAAACTAAAGCTTACTCTTTGAATTATGCTAAAGATGTATTATTCAGAACCGTGAGAGTCCATCCTCTGTCTGCAAATATTACAGCTTACTGTCTTGCACATACTGAAATCTCCTGCAGGTGTGGTTTGGAGATGACCTTCCTTTAAGTCCTCGAAGTCCTCTGACTCCCAGACACGGCCCAGGTCTGGCAGATGTGTGCCTGTACGACCAGTGGATATCTGTGCGGCATGAAGCAACATTGGTGCCTATGCAAGAAGACCTGTCAATCTGGCTGTCTGGCTTGCTGGGTGAGGTTAAAAATAAATCATTGTCTAATAAATTTCAAAGCGCATTCAAATATCCAACTCAACACTGACACTTAATATCCATAATATTAATAGCATTTGAGCCTGAGTGATTAGGAGAATTGCATTAAAAATGCATGTGCTGGTTTCAGATCTTATTAGCTTCCAACTGTTAGAGGTAAGGTGGTTACAGAATCAGAGAATCACAGAATGGCCAGGGTTGGAAGGGACCTCAAGGATCATGTATCTCCAACCCCCCTGCCACAGGCAGGGCCACCAACCTCCACATTTCATACTAGACCAGGCTGCCCAGGGCCCCATCCAGTCTGGCCTGGAACACCTCCAGGGATGGGCATCCACAACCTCTCTGGGCAGCCTGTTCCAGCACCTCACCACTCTCTCTGTAAAGAATTTCCCCCGACATCCAACCTAAATCTTCCCTCCCTCAAAACCATTTCCCCTTGTCCCGCTGTTGTCTACCCTTTCAAACAGTTGATTCTCCTCCTGTTTGTAGGGTCCCTTTAGGTACCAGAAGGCTGCAATGAGGTCACCCCACAGCCTTCTTTTCTCCAGGTTGAACAAACCCAGCTTCCTCAGCTTGTCTTTGTAGGGGAGGTGCTCCAGTCCCTCATCATCTTTGTGGGTCTCCGTTGGACCGTCTCCAACAGTTCTCTGTCCTTCTTGTACTGGAGGCTCCAGACTTCGACACAGTACTTCAGATGGAGCTCACAGGAGTAGGGTAGAGGGAGGCAATTGCCTCCCTGCCCTTGCTGGCCACCCCTCTTCTGATGGAGCCCAGGATACCATTTGCTTTCTGAGTTGCAAGAGCACACTGCTGGCTCATGTTAAGCTTTTCATTCATCAAGACCCCCAGGTCCTTTTCTGCTGGGCTGCTCACAAGGACCACTCCTTCCAGTCTGTATAGACGCCTGGGATTCCTCTGGCCCAAGTGCAAAATCCTACACTTTGCTGCATTGAGCCTCATTAGATTAATCCTTCTAATTTATAGTTCTGAGTCTTGTTAGTCTAATTAAGTGAATATTTGATTTTACTTTATTTATATTTCTACTAATTTTCAGTCTTTGAAATCCCTTTTTCTTTTATTATGTGGAGATATCAGTGGCATATGGTTGGGCTGGACAATCAAGTATTTATTTAGAATGAATGTTTTGGAAATTTCTTTCTAAAAGCTTTTGTTATTTTATTATTTCAGCATCACCTTATTTTATTGGTCTAGCCCATAGACGAGAAGAACTATTAAAGTTAGTCAGCTTCTGTTAGATGAGCATACGTAACAACAGTGCTGAGTGTTGGTCATCAGGCTTCTCTTCTTTGTGGGCTCTAGTTTAACTGAAGTCTTTAGCACTGGAACACTCTTGGAGATGCCTCTGAGTTCACGTGAAATTTCTTTGTGTTCTGTGGAGTAATTCCAGTACTGGCTTTTTTTTTTTTTTTTTTTTTTTTTTTTTTTTTTTAGGAATAGAAGTCACAGCAGAGCAACTGCTGGAAGAACTTGATAATGGAGTACTACTCTGCCAATTGATTGGTGTTCTTCAAAACACAATTAAAAAATCATGTAGCTCAAATAATTTAAGGGTGAGTTATATTTAATTTTTTAATACATAGATAAACACTTTAGTAAGGAAGGCAAGATGCCTAACTTCTGTATTTTTGTCCAAACCTTTTTGTTTAACTTTAAATTAGTGTTTGTTTTAAGACTATTATCTTAAAATTATATTGTCCCTTTTTCCCATATTATTTCCTCTGTTTTCTAAACTGAGCTCTAAAATGTTGCAGTGAGTTTAAGTTTAGTTGATCTGGGGTTTTCTGTCTGTGCTAATTGTGTGGCTATGAATAGAACTTGGGAGGAAGGAATCATTATCTAGACATGTGAAATCAACAGATATAACCCAGCAGAGGGGGAAATGGGGAAGCAACTGTATAGACAACTTTTTGGGAGAAGTTTCAGAGCTAAGTATTGTAATTCTGTCACTATTAACATGGATAAGACTAAATACCATCTACTTTAGAGTAGCTTTTCTAATAGAATGCATGTTGTTTTTCTTGAACCAATAATAAATACCAACCACTGCTTCTGTACTCCAAATTTGGCTTTTTTTCTTTCTTCTGAAAATGTGCTTTGAAATCTGTTGTCAATGTTTATGTGCACAGTGTACTTTGTTTTCTTCTCTTGCCAGAATTTTCCATTGAGAAAAGTTCCATGTAAGAAGGATGCTCCATCAGGATCTTTTTTTGCCAGAGATAACACAGCCAACTTTCTTAACTGGTGTAGGGCCATTGGAGTTGATGAGACTTACCTCTTTGAATCTGAAGGTTTAGGTAAATCTACCTTTTTGTAAAACTTTTCATGGTCCACATGTGGATAACTACCTTGCCAGGGAGAACTATTGCATGTAGTCCTATAAAGCTTTTTTCTTGACTGTGTCTGTCTTGTGAAACATTTATTTTTAGGGCAGTGTTTGATGTGAAAGCACTGAAATATCAGTTCAGTAACTTCTCTAAAGAGAAGGATGTTTTTCCAGGCTACTAGAAGTTGCCACGTGAGATGAAGAAGGGTAGTGATAGCTGTGCAGTGAACTCATGTGTTTTTCTTCTGTAAAAAGCCCTGCCAAGAAACAGAAGTTGTGGTGTCCCTTCCCTTCTCCACTCCTCATTCTTTTTGTACACTGGAAGACCACAGGGCCATGGAGTCAACTCATGATAAGATCCTTTATTTAGTATTAGAGAAAATTCTATTGGAGAAAGCATTCAGAATAATGCACTTATGACTACTAAGTTTGGTAACTGCATCAGAGCATTGGGGCTGAAATGACAACAGTCTGTTGGTAATTAACATTTAGTTCAAGTCTTACTATAAACTATGTATGTAACTATAAACCATGTGTATTCTCCTGTCTTAACAAGATAGTTATACACACAGTTGGCAATATTTATTTTTATGCCTGCCACAGTGCACAGCCTTGTAATAACCAACTACTAGACAGATAATTCCAGAAGGAATACTTTTTTTTTTTTTTTTTAACTGTTAATTAAGAGAAACTGCTTCCATTGTATGGAAATGATGTAATGCTCTTCTACCAATTATTATGTCTCTAGAAAAATAATTAATATAAACTTCTCTTTGGCAAGTCAAATACTTTAAAAAAAAAAAAAAAAGAGAGACAGAGGGAAGAAAAATCTTCCTCTGAAGCAGAACAGCAAAAAAAAATGCGAAGATCCTTTGTTTTCAATAATCATATGAATATGTCACAAAGCTTACTAGATTTTCTTGAAGTCTTTGTGCCTTTTAATGCTATTTAAATGGGAGGTGCTGGTTTGACTAGCTGCTTTTCTTTTAAACTCTCCTTGCTAGTTGGACTGCCTGTGCCTTCCCTACTGCATCACGCATCTTTTAAAGCACTTGAGAAAACATCCTTATTTGCATCTGTCTCATTCTGGTTTAACTAGGGACCATATCTTTTTTTCAGACCCACAAAACACAGACGAGCGGGAGAATTGAGATATAAGAAAATTAGTTCTAGTATTTTTTAATTTTAACTTATAGGAATTACACTGCTTAAACATCTGAGTTCCTTTAACTGGCTGGGTAACTAAAACCAGTTTAGCCTCCCTGAGATAAGTAGACAGGATTTCATAAGGCTGTGGCTTTTGCTCATCGTCAAGTGTTTTGAAGTCTGATTCTAACTCATGACACAAGCTTGCTGTGTGGCGTAAATATCATCTGTGAGCCTATTTGGCAGGTGAAATGAGCCGACATGAAGTCTCCTTGATGACACATTCTTTCCATTGATGTTCTCCATCAAACTTTCAAGCTGTTCTTTATGAATGAAATAGGGGAAAGACGACCTGGCAATTGCCTTTTTCATGTCAAACATGTGTAGCAACACCTCCTGATAAATGTGGGTGGCCATGGAGAAAATTAAATTAATTAAATTGTTCCTGAGTTATCGGAGTGAATAGCCATTATGAGGTGCCCTTTAACATCGTCTTGGTTTCTGCTAGGGGTATATTTGAATTTTTCTCTTATGGATTCAGGCAAATTATGCCTTTTCTCTCACAGCTGACAAAACCACTTATGAAAAAAAAAAAAAAAACATGAAGAAAAAAAAATCTCTAGTACCTTTTGGCTGGGTCAACTTTCTGTTGAATTAGCTATCATAATCAGATCCTTTAATAAGTAGAATTACAAGTTGGAGTAGATTAAATAACTCTGTGAAACTAGATGATCTTTCCAACATAAGACATTCTGTGTAAGCAAGAACATTTGACTTCATGCTCAGCTTATACACTAGTAAATGTTTTAGTCTTGTTTAAAGTGAAATCATTTTACTTACCAAGCTGAACGTCAGAAATATATTAGGTTTAATCCGTAAATATGGAGCTGGCTCATTAAGTTTCTCTTCAGAGTGAATTTTCATGTTCTGTTTAATATTGGACTGCACAGCATGAAGGAAGTTTATCTAAATGGTACACCATATAAAATTCTATCTACAGTTTTTCCCATTTCTTATGCTTAATGGTGTGCGAAGAACAATGGCGTGTGTGTAGAGTGAAGCAAGCTCAATGACATTTTTTCTAGCTTTTGGTTTCTGAGTTATTGGGCAGCATTCCTCAATGGCTAAGAAAGCATGAGGCTCATTTGTGTTCTACAACATTCATACAGCTGTTTGTGGGCTTCTTAGAAATTGTTGACAGAGTCTCAACTTTGAGGTTTAAATGGGGGCTGAGGAGGAAGTAATTACTTGTGTGATGTTTTAAACTATTCTCTGTCCCTTTATTTCTCCCTAGGCTCTGCAAGAAGCAAAACCAAGATAGACCTAAAATAGACCTTGTTTTCTTGTGCTCTTCCATTCTTTAGAGTGGCATTAAAAATAATTGAGTGCTCTCATTTCAAAGTTGTCAGGAAAACCCAAGGCAACTGCCAGAGTCATCTGCATACAATTTGGCTATCACTTCATCTTTCCCTCTCATTCTTCAGCTTCAGGATTTGTCTGTATTCATGATTCAAGATTCAGGAGCTCATGATTTCATGTGCCTACGTGATCAAGTGCATACAGCTGTTAGAGCTGTTCTGAAATGAGTTGTGCTGTGCAGTGAATGTAGGCAGAGTTGTGGAGAAGCAAAGCCTAGCACAAAAGTGCTAATAACGTATCTGAGCTAATGTTTCTGCTTCAGTGTGATCACTTCCAATACCTGCTATTTGAGTTTGAGTGTTTGACCAATATCATCCTCACCCCTTTCTTACAGTCAAAGGTTTCCACTCTCTTTCTTGCCTCTGAGCAGAATGATGGCTGCATTGCAGTCATCTGCTCCTTATTCTCTTTATCCAATTGCAGAGGCCTTCCCACAATAAAAATGGATTACAACTTCCTTTTATTTTTGATTCCTTTTCAGTTTTGCACAAGGATCCAAGACAAGTGTATCTTTGTTTGTTGGAAATTGGACGCATTGTATCCAGGTATTTGATCCACTGGTGACTTTAAATAGAAACTGAAGAATGTATTCCATTAATCAAAAGCTAAGATGGTCTGTGGCCATTAAATGCAAAGCAGTAGATGTTAATTATGTGCAGAAAGTAATGAGTAGCACCTCTACAACCACTGTATCAGTATTTTGTACAAATATTTATCGCTTTATTTTCATGGGGAGGTGCTGATCCACACTGCTTCTTATGACCATATGTTTAAATGTTACCTTCAGCTTATAGATATGTGTACATCTTGGAAGAATTCGATGAATAGTCCTGAAGGTCTTTAATTTTTTAAGTTTCTTGGAAGTTTTAAGAAAGCTTTAAATAGGAAGCAACTCTTTATTGTTCTCTAAATAGACTTCTAATTTGTTTCCAGCACAGAGTAGAAAGCTTTAAGGTAGTTCCTGGCCAACTCAGATTAACTGTTTTTCGGGTTTAGCAGTATTGATATTGCCTTCCCTGGTAGCTCTAGGACCACCTTGGTGAGAACTTCTTCCAGAAACTTGGAGGTCCTCCTTTTCTTTGGATTATCAAGACAGTTATTCCTGTAGTGCTGTTCACTCTTAGTCTAACTACTCACAATTTTGCTTGCTTGTTATAATCACATCTTTGTTTTCTTTATCAAATTATTAATTGAAATTTCTACTTATGTAATTGTGTTGAGATACGGAGTTGAACCTCCTGTGCTTGTAAAACTGGAGAAGGAAATTGAGCTAGAAGAAACACTGCTAAGGACCTCTGGACCAGCATCACCTGTTGACACAGCAAAGTCATGTTGTCACCATGGGGAGCTACATGAGGCAGTAAGTACTTACTTATTGTGGTCTTTAAGTTAAACTCTTAGCTTAGTGCTTGTGTGATATGACAGAGGCCAATTTTCATCTAATATCTGTGAGTCTTAGAAAGAAAACAGAAGTAGATATACCTCTTTGAACAATAAATTTTGCTTTATAGTTACAAAAATACTACAGTGTATATTTTGAAGTTAATGCTTCAGTGCATGTAACTTACCTTGATTTGCCCCTTCTTTCACTGCTGCTTTGAGCTGCCTCTCATTGAAGTGTTGTGCATCAATATGCTATGGCTAACGTGAACTTCATAAAGCAAGATTTGATGAAATGCTTTGGAAAAAAAACCTGCATAGCTGTACTAATTGGAAATTAACGTGTGCAGGAAAAGAAATGACTTGTACAACTTATGAATTGGCCTGAAAGAAATAATGAACAACAATGAATACACAATGAGATTTGAAATTTAACTTATTTAAACAGTCCTTTGTATTGTAATGTAAAGCTTTTGCATCTTCGAGAGCATCAGCCACCGGATCTCCACACTCTGATAATTCACTAGTTTTGCTGCTTACCAAAAATTTTGACCTTCGAATTTCTTTGAAGCTTCTAATTGGCTTTAACAGACACATCCTCTCTAACTCTAGACTTATTTGGGGGCTAGCTTTCTCTTTTGTTCATTGTTTTCCTTCTTGGGTGTCATGTAGAAGGTTAACTTAAAAGCTTTCTAAAAAGTGAGGGATAATGCTGAAGTGCCCCTGGATAAGGTGTAGCAATGGAACTGGTTCTGTTGAGTATTGATTTAGTCACAAAAGAGATCCAGGTACTTGCACTGAAAGGGTTCTGTCTGGAATTTGATACTACTATATAACGGATAGATTGATGGACAAATCTTTAAAAAGAAAATAGAAATACATTAAAATTGAAGAAATCATGAAAATTGGATTTAGATGACTCCAAGATATTTGTCTGCACATACAGTTTTATTCAGTCTTTTGTTCTCTGTTTTGAAGCTTTACGTAGCTAGGATTCTTCTTGTGAGGGAATAAAATTTTCGTGTTTCCTTAAATTAAGGGGAGAAAATATTTAATACAAAGAGATAATGGAATCTCAGTAAACAGTTAAACATATGCTTCTGTTAAAATACTAATACATGCTTTCAATATAAACAATTAGGTTAAACACATAGCAGAAGATCCACCTTGCAGCTGCTCCCATCGATTTTCCATTGAATATTTATCTGAGGGACGTTATAGACTGGGAGATAAAATATTATTCATACGAGTAAGTAATTTCTCAATATTAAAATCTACATTCAAAATGGGAAAGAAATACTTTTAAGTGAAATACCTTATTTTTGTGGTATTATTTCAGGTTTACAGAGTAATTTAGGGATACCACATGATTCAATCCTGTTCAAAGCAGGTCTGGCTAAGTAGATCTTGCAACCACTGATTTTACGGTTAGAACCATGCTGAACTGAGAAAGTTAATGCTTTTTTTTGTTTGTAAAATTTCAGTAGTGGTTTGTAGTATACCTAAGGGTAATACAATATAATACCCTGAAAACACTGCTTGTTCAAAATTCATACACATGGGTTTATAAATAATTTGCAGCTAGCTGAGCTAGTTCTTCAGGAATAAGAATTTGTGGGATTGAAAAAATGAAAGCATTCATAAATTGATCAAAACTGGCATCTAAAACTGTATACTAAGTAAGGATGCTGACAGAATGGTTAATATATTTTCTACATATACGCTTTCATTGTTTCCTGACACATAATGACTCCTTCTGCAGGAAAAACAAATAAAAGATCTGGGAAGTATAAATTTCTTAGTTATTCCATAATTTTTTTTCTTAAAATGATTCTCCATAAGAAAGGAGATCCTATATCAATTTAAATATTTCATAACATGAGGTGAAGACTTGGTGCTGCATAAAACAAAGTTTCTAACAGTCTTCTGTTCTCACCATTCTCAGATGCTCCACGGCAAACACGTGATGGTCCGTGTTGGTGGAGGATGGGACACACTCCAAGGCTTTCTGCTTAAGTATGATCCCTGCCGAGTGCTTCAGTTTGCAACTCTGGAGCAAAAAATCTTGGCTTTTCAGAAGGGAGTCACCAGTGACCATATCTCCAACTCAGCAGCCAGAATTCAGGAACCTCCTGTCATGAACCCAATGTCAGCTGTCAGTATGTTTCAAAAGCAACCAGCAAACCCTCCTACTCCTGTTCCAGCCCTAAAAGCTGTCCATGGGGCAACAGTTAAGAAGCCTTTGTCTAAACATCCTCAGCCTCCTGCCCTGACTTCACCGAGGGTGCCAGTGCACACATCCTCCGCTGCCAAGTTGTTGTCAGCCAGACCCAAACTAGCAGATGCTCAGTCTCCTTTCAAACCATTGATGGGCACCTCAAAGAAACTGGCATCTCCTGCGCACCACTCGCCATCTCCTGTTCCTTCGCTGCCTGCAAGCAAGAGTTCTTCATCTACAAGATCAAGAGCAGCTCTTGTTCACTCTGAAACATTACGCAAACGTATTCGCTCCCCTGATGCTCCAAAGGTGAGATTTGCCCCGGCCCAAGGCTCCCCAGCAACAGGGATGCATTCTGCGCTCTCAGCATCTAAGAAGCAGTTGTCTCAGTTGCCTGCAACAAGTGAAACATTGGCTTCGAAACAGAAGTGTGTCCCCTCCAAATCTAAACCTGCACCTGTCACTAAAACCAAGATAAATTCTGTTGCTCCGAGACCAGCCCAGCCACCTGTTAGCAATCTGCGTGCTGTTGCCAAGTTTGCACATTCCCAGCAGCTCTATGTGAAATCTCCTTCTGAAAATACTATTCAGGGATCAGGAACTGGGTCTCAGCATCCTCGGAAAGCTCCACAAACAGCTTCTCATCTGGCAAGGAACCTGAAGACTGCTTCAATCCTAAAGCACTCAGCTTCTGTACCTTCCCTGGCAGTTAGTAAATCATTGAAGTCACCACCTACGCTGGGATCCAGAAGCAAAAATCTAATAGCATCTGTCAATAAGACACCAACCACAGAGCATCTAGAGACCCAAAATGTCAATAAGCCCCCTGAGGTTGGATCCTCCTCATCCAAACCTCCTGAACGCACTCCGCTCTCTGTTGTGCGGCTTCCTCAAACTTCAGCCAAAGTGGCAGTGACCAAAAAAGCAGTGCAGCCCTCCACAAAAAGTCAGCCTTCAAGCACAGACTTGGAAGCCAATGGAAACTTGGTCCCAGCAGCCAAGAAACCTCTCTCTAAAGGAAAATCAGCAACACCTTGTAACAAAGGAGCACCTAGTGCATCGAAAGGGCCTCTTCTGAAGAGCAAACAAGATGATCATTATTTTGTTATGACTGGGAGTAAAAAGCCCAGAAAGTAAACCTATCTGTTAACTTCTGTGGAAGTCCCTGTAACATTCAAATGGGCCTCTGAAAATTGCTATGCTAAGGACAAAAATAAGTTAACTGACACTACGTGTGCCATTCCAAATGTTAGGCATGATTACATTTTGCTGCATAACTTACAGTAATAACTGTATTTATTTTGCAGTTTTAAAACTTTTTTTAGATATATTTACAAGTAAGCTTGCTTGCACTGTGGAATAGAGGATAACCATGTTTGCTGCTAGCCTGACCTGCTGTGGAGAAAGGCAGGAGAGAGGAAGGGGAGCTGGAATGCTGCTGCTGTTTGTTTTCCAGGGAGTTAAGCTGAGCAATTCTGGTTGTTCTAAGCCATCTGCATCAAGGCCTGTGGCAAGTGATAGAGCTGTGCAGATGCTATAAAATTTCTAATACCTCAAACAAAATTGTTGAGGGTTTTTTCCCTTTCCTTTTTTTTTTTTTTTTTTAATTTTCAAGTTTGTTAGTGTTTCAGGACCCAAAATCTGGGTATCCTGTGTGTATTAGAGACATTGGAAGACTTTTTTTTTTTTTTTTTTTTTTTTTTTTAACTCGGTGGTGAGGCACTGGCACAGACTGCCCAGAAAGCTGTGGGTGCCCCATCTCTGGAGGCATTTAAGGCAAGGTTGGATGGGACTCTGGACAGCCTGAATTGGAGGGTGGCAGCCCTGCTCATGACACAGGGTGGGACTGGATGGGCTCTATGTCTCTCCAAACTTACGTCATGCTATGATTAGAGAGAAATCTCTAGTCGTCTTCAGTTTGACTGCTGTAGCTATCAGCATTCACTATGCTCCTACGTGCCTAAACAGGGCTTCAGCTTGTTTGGGCGTGGAGCCTTGGCTTGCTTTAAATTGTGCATAGGAAATCATGGCCTTGATCACTCTTTTTTTTTTTTTTTTTTTTTTTGTGCCTTAGCATTGCTGCTTATAAAGGCCTGGGGAGACAACTTTGCAGCTCTTGCTGCATGGGAAGAAGTTGCTGTGAGGTTATTTTCCTGCAGGATGGACACCATGGGGCTGGCACAGGGCCTGCTTGGGCAGAGCCTTGCTGCAGTGCAGCAGTGGCCTTTTTCTGTAAAACTGAACTGCTGAATACTTTATTTGTGTGGGCAATCTTAGTCTGTGTTGGCCTTTGTTTTGTTTATGGAGACCTTGCTAGTGGCTCTCCTTATTACTTTTCCAGAGATGAGGAGTAGTTTCCCAGAGAGCTACCAAGGGCTTGTCTTTGCCTTAATGCCTTTGGAAGTAGCACAGACTGAAGTGCCATTTACTCTCAACTCATGAAGGCTCTTAGTGGGTCCATGTTTCTCAGCAGAAATGAGTTTCATGGTAGATGAATAAAAACTACTGTCTCTGGAAGTAGCATTGTTTAAGATAATTTGGATTTAATGAACAGTCAGTCCTATGAATGTCAAGGAACTCTCAGGTTCTGTGGAGAGACACTGCGACTGCAGACTTCCACAGGCTGTTGTTACTCCTGCTGTCAAGATATTTACTTATGGGTAGAAGAGGCAACATGGAAACTGCAGCTTCTGATGCTATATGTTGAATGTTTTCTTCCTGGGACTAGAATAAGCAAGCATTGTAAACTAATTGTGAGTTTTCATGAGCAGTGGTGACGCTATCAAGCTACCTTTCTGAGCACCTTGTTAGCTTCAGTTATTTATCATTCAGTTATTTTATCAGATAAATATGCATCTCTACTGTACAACTCCTGTTTACAACCTGCTGGGAGTAAACAGGAAATAACAATATACAAACTATTGTAGGAAAATATCAGTTTTAATAACACAGCTCCCACAAACTTATGTTCAAACTTGTATGTGTGGGGAAGGCCTTACTGCTTATTTATTTTATAAATGCGCTGGCCAAAGCCACTACTGCAAATGTTAAGAATAGTATTGATTGTAGGGGAGTTAGGTTAAAACTGACACTCTATTTTATACTCTGAAAGCATTTTGCAATAGATGGCTTGCTTTTAATTTTGATCTCCCATAGAACGAGCTGTGATGCAGTATCTCATGCAATAGATGAGTTGGGGTTTCTTTCTGTACAAAGTCTGAGTGGGATGAGGTTGCTCTCTTCACAGCAGCCCATATGGTGTTGTGTTCTGGATTTGTAGCTGACACGGTACTGATAGCACAGCAGGATTTGGGCAGTTGCCAAAATTTGTTTGCATGGCATCAAGGCTTTCTCTTTTCCCCATGCTGACCCTGACAGCAAGTGGGTTGGGAGTGGGTGCTTGGCTTCTTGCTGGGTGGTTCAACAACCCTCAACACTTTTTGAACTGTTTACAAGTTTCACAGTACTACTATAAACACCAAGACTCTTGGATCCCTGTGTAACAGTTATCTCAGCATCTACCTTTGAAAGCAATTATTTGAGAGAAAGTAAAGTGGAGGGTTTCAACTTTTTAATGTGTTATTTCACATAATAGATTGAATTTTGTTGTTCAAAGTGAAATGGAAAAGTGTAAACTGGGACACAGGCACTGAAAAAGGAAAAAAAAATCATTTTACTGTTGAAAACCTAGACAGTTAATCTAAAGATGCTGCATGTGCTATGTATGGGTTAGCTTGGTTTGTTTTTTGTTTATTACAAAAATAGTGTAAGTATGATCTAACTTGTGCAAATAATTGCAGTCTTCAACTTTTTATTCAGTCATGTTATAACTGATGATGTCACGTGGCACAAGGTGAGCTAATAATCAAAATGCAAGAAAATACCTCCTGCTGAAAATACTCTTTTCTCAACGTTTATATTGCCAAACAGTAAATTTGATCTTCAACTTGTATTACTTTTTGAGTGGGAAAGATTAGTTGGAACAAGAATCTTATTTCTCTGTATGCTTTTGATGTCTTTGAGTACTTATTCTAAATAAATATATACTGCACCTTTTTACATGCACACTTTTTTTTTTTTCTACTGTTGTTTTTTGTGTGTGTGTGGGGGGGGGGGGGAATGGAGTTTGCTGTTTCAGAAGGGTTATGTTTTTGCTCAGACACGACTTAATTGTTTGTAGCGTCTGTGTCAGGGTATTATGAAGACATAAATAGCTATTGTTTTGTTTGGAGTTCAAGACCTCTGATCTGTGTTTCAGTAAAACAGTATTTGAGGAGATGGGGCTTCTTGCTCTTTCCTACTAGGTAACGTGCCTGAGTACTTTCAGATACCTCTGCAGTAGAATTGCCAGGTCATGATCTGAATCAATGGTTGAACACCAGGTGAGAAGGCATGACTAACCCAGGGAGCTCAGGTGTAAGCAATGTAACTGAGTGACAAGAAGAAGTGGAGCCTGGAACCACCCCTCCTCAACCTCACTTAAGGGTTAGCATTTAAGGGAGTAGCATCTCTTTGGTGAGAGAGTGGGCTCTTCTCAAGCTGTCACAGGTCGTTGGAAGGGTTGAGCTAATTTTCCTTCTTTATTACCTGCTGTTCTTCTATATTGCTTGTATCTCATATTTCTAATATCCACAGTCCAAATCTATTCTTCTAACTCAGTGGAGAGGAAATCTTAAGCTCTTGCTTCTCAAATTCCGGAGAAGAATGTAACTTCAAGTTTTGGCCCTGTTCACAACTAGATAGTGGAAAATATAGCTTCATTGCTAAGCTGGTAGATCAAAACTAGGACAGCTTCTCTGCTGGTTTGTGGGTGTTTGACTTAAAGCTCCATCTTTTACACTTAAGTGGAGTTCCTAACCTGGAGAAGCCAAGTGCCTTTTTTTTTTTTTTTTTTTTTTTTACTGTTATACTGCAGATGTGCAACTGGCTAACAAATCATCTTGCATCAGTGTTCATTTCCTCTGCCAGCAATATATTGCTCATTGCAACTATCAAGTTCCTCAAAGCATTATCACTATTCTAGTAATTAGTTGGCTGTAACGCTGACTTCTGAAAGGATTGCCTAAAGTAATCATCACAATGCTTTATTTCTCATTTAGGTACTGTTAATCTAGTTGTGGGAAATGTCAAACAACCCTACTCTGGCCAAAACAAGCCTGGATCTTGTATGTCCTATGGGTTTTGTACATGTAGTTGCAGGCCTTGAGTCTCTTCTGATTTGCTGTTCCTCAGCGTGTAAGCTGGAGAAGCGCTGTGTAGTGATCCTTTCTGCCACTGATTCATGATAATGAAAATTAAGCATTCTTCAACATCATTGCCATTTGAAATCCTTTGGTGGCCAATGGTTTATCATCCATTACAAAACATGTAAGCTGGGTTGTGTATCACAAGGACGTACTCCAAAGTCATCCTGAAAAATGGAAGAGAGTTATATGAAGCTACAGATTACTCTGTTTTCTTCCCAAAGTCCTACATGGTTCACACAGTAAAATGGTGTTCTGCTTATAATGGAAAAAAAAACATTTGGACCATTCCACCAACAAATCTTGTTCAGAATGGGTTACCTTTTTGCCTTTTGTTTATTTCAAGTGGACTTTGGCCTTGTAACAAAATGTTCCACAATAGTTAAAATGTAGGTCATTTATGGCTGATGACAAAATCTTCAGAGACAGCAACAAACACAGGGGTGCAGGTAAGGTTCTGAGAGCTTTGCTTGCATGTGGCTGATACCAGTGCCCTGTACAGCTGCCGTGCTCTGTGACACTTCAATTTTTTTCTCCTCTCTGTCAGTATCTGGCTTAGGAGAAACATGACAGTGTGAGCAGCAGCTACCTACTAACATCCAGAAAACATCTGGATTAATGAAGTACACAACCATGAATGCTTAGTATGTGCACAGTTTGGAAGACTTCATTTATTGTTTGGCAATTTTATATACATAAATTAATCGTTGAAATTTAAGGCAGTTTTCCTTGTAGGGTTCAAGCAGCCTTAGCTTCAAACAGCACACTGAATGGATCCTTCTCTGTGTCCCTATTGGGAAACCGAAATCTGTTTGGCAGATCAATGAGTGCTATGGAGCCCTCTGGTGTCCAACAATCTTATAGGTGCTACTCAAGCAAGTGGTGGCCTCTGAATCTTCTTAAAAAATCCACAGGCAAAACCTTTCTTTTTCATTCAAATTAAAGCTCTAGGCTAGTAAAATCCAGGTGTGGGATGCAACAGACTTAATTTTGCAAAATCCTTTCATTTCATGTGAGTGCATATTGAAATTTTCCTTTTCATGAAAGCCGGGATCATTAATAAAAGGTTTGAAAAATAAATGGTGTTAAATGTAAATAAGCTGAACGCAGTTTCAGGCCCATTAAGAAAGATTAAAGCGTTAAAATATCGCAGAGGTGTGGTCTACTCGCAGCACAGTTCTTGCTCCCCAGTAATCCCCATTAACTGGGAGCTGAACTTTCTGGTGTGTCACCAGCGCAGATGCGAGCAGCAGATGGCTTTTCAGTTGGAGAGGAGAATTGATGCTGCCTAGGATCAATGCTGTTAGGGCACTGTGTGGAGTATGTGTTCCAGATGGAAGAAAAACCTTACAGGGCAGGAGCCAACCGGCCATTTCTCTGAGGGACGTACCTAGGCAGAAAAAGTTGACGGAATAGTTGTGTTAAGAGGTTTTTGGTGGTAGATTTGC